CATGTCTTTAAACTTGGCCTCCTTACCTTGCAATGCCCAGATGTGGCGTGTCTCCTTGGGTCTATCTGTACTGATGTCTGATAATGAATCTTAAAGGTGAATTATGAGGCCAAACAAAGCACACAGGTATAACTGAATTTGTTTTGAAAAATATAGAATAGGCTCTAAATTCTGAGTGCACTTTGAGAATTTGCATTAAGTTCAATGAGAAGGTAATATTAGGAAAAGAAGTACAGCATTATTGATATATAATAGTTGGCTGTTTATAATTAACTTCGGCAAACATTATTTCAAAGACAAGTATTTCCATACATACCTATGAAATTCACATTTTTTAGGAGTCAGAACACTTCAAAACACTATATGAGTATGATTACCATATAATGCGGTGGACAGACATTTATTAATTTTAACTATGTTACTACTAGTTATAGTCCCAGATGAGAGAGAGTAGAAGACACTTGGGATCAAAGCTTAAGACCGGAGCAAATGAAAAGGAGAAATCCCCAAATCCCACGCGTACATGCCTGTTGTTAAGTATTCAATGTTTTAGGAGGGGCGGGGAGGGGCTTGGAACGAGAATAAGAGTGAAAGGAGGGAACAACTAAGTAGTTGATGTACCTTTGGAAGATGAAATTGGGGGGAAAATCAAGCCATTGGTTCTTTCCCTTTACCTACTACATTTTTATTGAATTTTTTTATGGTTTAGAAAAATGTGTTACCAATGATTCATTGTTTGGCTGTACTCGACTCTCAAGATCCTTGTGACCCTCACAGCCCTTGCCATAGAAAGTGTCAACTAATGTTGTTCTGGGCAGGGTAGGAAACCAAATGACCATTTTCTTTATACGATGGACAGGATCTTAAATGCCCACTCTTCTCCCATGACCCGTCTGGTATTACCTGTGTTTTCTCTTTTCCCGCTTTTCCTGTTTTTGAACTTTACCTTTTCCTGGTGTCTTCAAAACTAAATTTGTAAAAAGAAAAGAAAAACGGTTAAAAACATAAGTGTAAGGATACTTTTTTCACCATTGATATGCTCCTTATAGATATATGAGGATTTTAATATTTTCCCACTTATTATTGCATTTGTTCTTCATGCTTAAACATTTAGGGCACAGCATTGGTAATATTTGCTATTATTTTATCTTTCTACTATTGCTTTTATTACTCTTTTGCTTAATTTTTATGATTGAGTTAGTGACTTGTCCAAGATCACTAACCAAGTAATAATTGAGCTGGAATTGTTGACATAAGGACCATGGCTAATTAGACAAATCCACTAAAGAAAACAAACACAGAAAACCACCCTTTCCTTTATTATATTGGGTATCAACAACAGAGAAGCCATCTTTGTGCCAGAGGGAAATTGGAATATAAATGCTTGTAACCACTGACACATTTACTAGAAATATGTTTGCTTAACAAAGTGAATTCAACTATATGTGCACACCTCATGGGATAAAATCTACTGACTGAAACTAAATCTGTTATATTGGTGGGAAAAGAAGATGCAATAGCTCAGTGTTATCAGTCAGAACAAGGTCAGGGGTCAACTGTTGAATAACCGTCAATTACTCATATGCAAATTCAAGTGAAGCTGGAGAAACCTAAAACAATTCAATGAGAGTTAAAATAAGATATTGAATATATCCCGCTAGAATTTAGCGACAATTGCAGGAATGAACGTGATGCACTGAATACTGGTGACCAAAGACCAAAAGAGCTGTGGCATGCCACCAAGGATAGCATACATGGAAAAAGGGAAAAAAGGAAAAAGACAGAAAGGAGAAAAGGCTAAAATGGTCATCAGAACATACCCTGAAATTTGCTCTTGAATGAACAATAGCTAAATGCGTGGATGAAAAGGTAAACTATCAGAGCTGCATAGATTTCAAAGGGCCACTCAAGAAGTCAAAATAAAATACACATAATAAAGTGTGCAAAGTTCTGGAGTTAAAAATCAAAGGTAAGAGCGGGCTTGGTATTTCTAAAAGTGAAAGAACTGAAGAAAAATTCAAGCTTCCTGTTGCAATATTGAAGGCGTCTGTGGAGGCTGGAGGGAGCAAACAACACAGGAAGCATCAAAACAAGATGGAAGGAATACAAAATCATTGTGTCTTGAAAAATAAGTTGAAGTTCAATGTTTACAATAAATAGCATACGGTCAAGAACAGATAGAACTGAAGAAGTTCAAGTTGAAATGAAGGCATTGGCAATAAACAAGGCTCCAGGAATTGGCATAATACCAATTAAGATATTTTAACAAATTGATGCAACACTGGACATGCTCACCCACCTGTGCCAGGAAATAAATTTACAGGATGCTTCCTTTAGAATGTAGTAATTATTGAATAATACCATTAATATTACATGCAAGCAAAATTTTGTCAAGAAAATTCAAAAATGACTACAGCCATACCTCGAGAGGGGCCTGTTAGAAGTTCAAGCCATATTCAATAGAAGATGATAACAAAGGATATCAGTACTGATGTCAGATGCATCTTGGCTAAAGGCAAGATACTAGAGAACATTTACCTAAGTTCTATTGACTACACAAAAGCATTCAACTGTGAGGCTTATAGTAAATTCTACATAACATTGGGAAGGATGTAAATGCTGGGACACTTCATTTTGCTCATGGATAACCCCCATATAGACGAAGTAAGAGGCAGTCTATCAAACACAACAGGAAGGTATTGTGTAGTTTAAAATCAGGAAAGGGGTACATCAAGATTGTATCTTTTCACCATATTTATTCAATTTGTATACTAAAGAAAAAATAATCTGGAAAACTACAGTCATGTCAAGAAGAATGGGGTATCAGGATTAGAGGAAGGCTTATTAACAATGTACAGTATGAAATGAGACATCGTTGCTGGCCAAAAGTCAAAAGGAATTGAAGCACACAGTGATGAAGAACAAAGACTTCAACAGGAATTATACTTCAACAGAACGAAAGAAATAATCCTCACAACTGGACCAATCAGGAAAATCATTGTATTCTGGGAAAATTATGAAGTTGTCAAATATTTCATTTTACTTGAATTGAAAATAGTTCCTAAAGAAGAATCAGTCAAAAAATCAAATAACAAATTGCATTAGTCAAATTTCTACAAAGACGTCTATAAAGTATTAAAAAGCAGAGGGTTAAGGTGCACTTCACTCCAACCATGGTATCTTCCTTCATTCACCTCATATGAATGTGTAAGTTGGACAATGAATAAAAAGACCAAAGAAGAATTGATGTCTTTGAATTATGCTTTTGGTAAAGAACATTGAACTTACTAATGATTGTTAAAAGAACAAACAATTCTGTCTTGGAATGTTTCTTAAAAACAAGAATGATGAGATTTCCTCTTATATGGACATGTGCCCAGAAGGGACCAATCCCTAGAGAAGGGGATCTTCTTTGATAAAGTAGATGTTCAGCAAAAGGGCGGAAGATCCTCAAGGGATGGGTTGACATGGTGTCTGCAGCAATGAACTCTAACATATGGACTGCACTATTGTGAAGACAAAATGGTACTGGGTGGTGTTTTGTTCTGTTATACTTGAGGTCCAACTTGATAACACCTAACAACAACACTTTTAAAACACTGAAGAGAACAAACTCTGTTACATAATGAGAAACATTTCTTTTTCTCTCACTCAATTTCATTTCACCAAGGGAACAATGGTTATTCATTTGATGAATAGCCTTGTAGGTATTTTCTGTGTTTATCTAATAGAAGAGGGTACACACACACACACACACACACACACACACACACAGAGTTATATCTAACTTACTAATACCCAAACACTATTTGTCATTTCATATACTATAGATATTCTTCAGTTATGCATCTATTTACTTCATTCACTTTAATTATGTTTTTCTATTCTATGATGTCTGAAATCTACAAAATCAATGTAGTGTTCATGAATAGTCAGGTTACATAGCTTTTGTTGCTATTACCCAAAATGTTGTAATGAGCATCAATGTAACACAAGTTATTTTAATCCTGTGCATTTATCTGTGGGATAAGTTCAGATAAGTGGAATTTGGGGCTTATGTGTAGTCACTAATATTTCCACTTTGTTCATGTGACCTTGAGATGCTGTTTTGAAATTTAATCTGTATAGATACAATAAAAATAGTATTATTATACTAAAGATAATTTCGATACCATCAAAGAGAGACCAGACAAGCACTAAAATGGCTTGGTTAAATATCCTCCTGGGAAACCATAATTATATAGAGTTAGCAATTTGTACTCCTCCTTCTGCTACAAGGAGCCCTGGGAGCATTTGTTGGTTCCAAGTTGGGCTGCAAACCTCAAGGTCAGCAGTTTGAAACCTCCAACCACTCCATGGGACAGCGTGCCTTTCTACTTCTGTGAAGTTACCCTCTCAGACACAGGGGCAGTTCTGCACTATCCCCCTGAGTCAGTTCGAGTTGGGATCGAGTTGCGGCAGTCATGTTGGTTTGGGTCTTCCCTGTGCTATTAACATAACACGGCTGTTTTTATCCAGTGAATCAAAACAGCCCATCTAGACCTTCAAGTTTCAATGTATGAAACTGTCCCAGAAGGCAAGTGAGCACTGGATGTGGTAACTTGAGTCTTCTCCCACACTGGATAAAGTCCCATGATCTTGGATTTTTGCTACTTTGTGAACTGGTTTAAAACCATGGTACTCATTTAAACGTTTTCACAGTTTTTGTCCTAAGAAATGAGCCCTAATGGTGCAATGGTTAAAGTGTGTGAATGCTTACTGAAATTGTTGGTTCAAAACGACTAGCCGCTCTGTAGGAGAAAGACGTGGTAATGTGCTTCAGTTAGGATGTACAGCCGTGGAAATAACATGGGATGTTCTACTTTGGCTATAGCGCCGCTATGAATTGGCACCCACTTAACATCAACAAGTGTGGTTTCGTTTTTAGTACGTACTAAGAAAAGTGCGTGTCTCTCTTAAAAGAAGTCCTCTTACTCTTTAAAATCACTTATCCTTTGCAGGACAGGGCGGGGCCTTTATGGAATTGACAGTATGCCAGACCTCCGTAGGAAAAAAACTTTGCCTATTGTACGAGATGTGGTAAGTTACCCCTGTTTAATCCTCTTTGATTGCATAGCTGGTCTTTTTTTATATTGTTACCCTATATTGTCCTCATTAACTGCTTAGCCAGTATGTATTTCATGAAATACATACCAATTGTTAGATTCCCACCAATTGTTAGATCGATGTATGTCTTTCTATAACCTATTTGATGAAGTTAATAAGTAACCTTGTGACAGCTTTTGATATTAGTTGAAATAACAAGATGAGTTAAAGTGGCCCTATAATTGAACAAAAAAGGACAAAGAGAGCAGGCTAAATGGGCTATTGTGCTGGACTTTGAAGGGTTGTGCTATGAACGACCACTCATTTAACTTCCAAAGTTTAAGGCTTGCTTTGAACATTCTCACATTAACCCAGTAGACTTAATATTTTATAATGCAACTATGTATTGACCAGTTCATCGTTCTATAATATTAACATCTAGGTTAGTCAAATTAATAAGTTATTTCCCTGTCTAAAGGGACCCATTAACTCCCAAATCCTGAAATATGTCATTAGCTCTGGATACACCATAACTCTGAATAATTGAAAATCTCCTATAATAAAGCCTTTAAGAATCACATAGAGAATGACAGAATTGATGATTGTTTGGACTAGATTGTGAAAACGTGTATCCCATTAGCTTTCCATTGTCTTTCCATCCCCTACAATGTCTTCACAGTTTTTCTATAAGCAGCCTTAATAGTTTACAGCATGAAAAATATATTTTTTCCCAGAGAAACAAAAATGTCTTGTTTAGCAAAAATATGCATAATTCATCAACATTTGTTAATTTAGCTAAAGAAATCATCTGAAAGCCAGATTTTTGTTTTATGTTAAGAAAAATTATATTTTGATGCTTAGACTGAAAATATTATATGCCCATATAATTAGCTCAGGTTCCTGCCAGTATAATATGAACATTATTTTTACACATTATGCTTATTTAACATAATTATGCTGTGTCTACTTTTGATACATCTAATTGTTTGCACTCTGTTTCCTCTTACTCCTGAAATCTTCAGGCCATGGTAAGTGATTTTTAATTTGTTCAATTAATACTGGTGACTCTCTCAATATACACTGCAGTTATTCATGGGATTACAAAATTCGAGATGGTGAAAGGAAAATAAAGAGATGGTGAAGTGAAAATAAGTTTAATTCTTCAAGAACCTAGCGTACAGTTCAACTCTGAAAGAAGGATCAAACTGGCTATACAGTAGGTGCACATGACAGATTCAATTAAGATACAGCTATTATTGTAAGGACAATATTTGTCAGAGAGGGAAGATCATCTTGGGTAAATTTTTGTTGAAGTGAATGTGTCTATAGGCTACTTGGAGGCATGACAAAGAGCAAAGTGTGACTCCCTTATTGAGACAAGTCTTCATTTTATCTGAGTACCTGACCTTGGAGCTTCTAGGGGATAGATTTGTGACGAGATGGGAGTAAAGATGATCAGGATTTCATGCTCCACTTTGACCTACCTTTGTTCCTAAACAGATTAATATTTCATATAGATATTTTTATTTCTAAAGTTCTATACAGGATTGCCAAGTTTATTACATTGCATGTATTTCACCCAGGAGCAGTTTGTAATGGTGCAACTTTATTTTGAGATACTGAAAAGGTTCTTGAGTTACAATAATCTACGTTTCCAGCATGAGTGAAGAACGCACATTGAAATGAAATCATTCTCAGAACACAACGTAGCCACTTGTAGGGATGCGTCCTTGCTGTTATTTGAAAGAATGTTCTAGGGAGCTGTAAATAATCCAAGACCAATGGGACACCAATTGTGACTCAGACCATCACACAGATCAGACAGGTGATAGCGTATGAACGGGTAGGATCATGACTGCCCTAAGGAAAAATACTGAAGGCTTCTTATTAGCCTTGAACCTGATCATTCTCCCTTGATGGTCCTTAGTTTTCTCATCTGTAAACTATAAGGTTGTGTTTGATGATCTAAGAGATCTTTGCAACTGATTCCAGAAATGGCAGGTGAGTCAAGCCCTAGCGACTAAAATGTGAACAGTGATGGTCATTCTTATTTATGTTTTTCTGAGCAATATGCATATGGCAACCTCCCATGTACCAATAAGTCATAATTGTGCTTGTTTTAGACCCTGGCTGCCCGGAAATCGGGACTTTCCTTGGCAATGGTGATTAGGACATCGCTAAACAATGAAGAACTGGTAGGTGCAGAGCTAATTATCACCTGTGTATTACTGGCTATTGACTCACATCAGTAACTAATTATCAGCTATCGGCCATAATCACAGGCTGAAAAACTATGCTTCTTGAGCTATTCATTTGTAAGGCTCATTCCAATGACCCAGGAATAACTGGGAGCATGATGGAAAGGTTGATGCCCAGACTTTAGGGCTTCTGATTCACAATCTACCAAGTAATCTTATGCTCCCCAAATCCATATGTGTGTGCCTTTCCATCTTCAGAACTGGTCCATGGTGACGGAGTTCACCAGTTTTTTGGTTTTTTTTTTGAAGGGAAAAAACAATCCTGCAATTAAAAAAAAAAGGATATAGCTCAAGTTTCACCTCCTTTTCTCTAGAGTACTTCTCCTCTTTCTGTTTGGATATCCACCACTGGGATTTTATCGAATTTAATCATGACCTCCATGGTATAGTGTGCTAAAGAATGGTGTAAGTGCCATCAATCCCACTTCAATAGCAGTGCTACATCAGGCAGCTAACTGGCCTTGAGTCCCCTCATCTGTAAAGTGGAAGTAATAGTTAGATGTTGGGGTGAGGGGAGCCCAAACACTTGGATGGTCCTCAGGAGCAAGTTTGTGATGGTGGAAAATCTTAAAGACAGACAGACAGCGGGGCACAGAGACTCCATGTCCCACGTCAGGACTGAGGGGGGGAATGCACTTTTCAATTGGTATGTATACTGGGGCTCACAGATCTTTCACAAGGCATGCACCTCCGACAGCTAACGTATACCTCGTCAATGGGTACTAGCCTAAGCAGGTAGCATAATACACAAGCAACGAGGTGAGTCGAGTCAGCATCTTGACCTAGTGCTAGTTGACCTTGAACCCCCCTGAGCCCTTCCCAGGGTAGTAATCTACAGGTAACCTTCAGGCCTAGAGAGTAGCCAGACGCAAGTATGAGGCATCTTTTATGGTAGCTCCTTTAGGACTATTCCTTGATGGGCCAGTTTTGGAGGGGCTGTGTTTAGTCATGAGAATGTATATTAAGATTTATTTCTGTCTCATAACCATGAGGGTCTTCTCTCACTGGAGTTAGCTCTCCAGACCCATAATGATGAGCATAGAGGTTGGAGCTGCATTACATTCTCATCCAGGCCCTCAGTTGACCACAGTAAGGCTCTGAAGATTCAGGGAGTGGATACCACAGAGAATGTAGTACATAATAACTATGAGCTACTGGGTTTCATCATTTTATGCTTTTACTATTTGACTTTTCTTGCATAAAATACTCCTTTGTAAACTTTGATATCAGCAGCCTTCATCAAGTTTGTGGAATTATTTCATGATCCTTTAATTTCATGTTTTCGTAAACTTGTTGAAGCCCACTTGTAACCTTAAGGGGACCATTATATCTTTTCTATTGATTTTATTAAATGTTTTCATGCTGTTGCTTATGGTAGTATTCTGCCTGGCCTGGCAGATACTCTGTACGTAGTGCTGGATTACCCAACAAGCACAGGGTTACTTATGCATATGTACTACCTGTCATGTGTGAAACTGTTCACGGCATGTGATACTGCTCACTACAGATTAACAAGTAAGCATAAACAAAGCCATGCTTACCTTGTTTATTGGGTAATCCACCCCTGTTTGAGGAAATAATTTATCTAGAAAATCATTTATCTACAGACATTTTAGTAATCGGCTCCTACATTTGCACTGTTCTTTTAAAATATGGTGTTTGTTTGAACTATGAAAACTCTTCTTGTGAAAAGTGAACAAGAAAGTGATAGAAATGAGGGGAATGTGGCCCCCTTTTCTGAAGTCCGGAACAGAACATACCCTGACTTCGTGATCTAATGAATTAGCTATTGATCTAATCTCAGGAACTTAAAAATATCACTTCGATTTAGAAAACCTGAGTAAAAGATTTGTACGGGCATTGGTGGCCAACACCCTCAAACTCACTGCCATGGAGTTCATTCCAACCCTTAGGGTCCCTGTAGGGGGACTCCTGGTGCCCCTGTGGGATTCAGAGACTGCACCCCTTTCCAGAATTAGAAAGCCTCATCTTGTTCTGGCACAGCAGCTGGAGGTTTCTAACTGCGGACCTTGCAGGCAGCAGCCCAACTTGCAACCCCTGGGCCACCAGGGTGGCCAACTCCTCACCTCACAGCTGCGGAGTCATTGCCAACACACAGCAACTCTCTAGGACATGGTCGAACTGCCCCTGTGAATTTCTGAGACTGTCACTGTGTATAGGTTCAAAAGCCCGTCTCTCTTCTGCGGGGTGGCTCGTGGTTTCAAACAGCTGACCTGATGGTTAGCGGCCCAACGTGTAATCAGTAAGCCACCAGGCTAACGCGATTCCATCAATTCTCTCTAAAGCTCCAAAGTCCATCACTCTAGGTCCCATGTCTCAAAGAGTAAATGCAGTATGATTTAAGCAGCCATACGAAATATCGCTTTTGACAAGCTGCCGCATTCAGTCATTTATAGACAACTAACAAAAATACTGAAGTGGATCATTTCCACTCCGGGGTCCTGAAAGTCTTCCTAGGCACCCTCAATGTGAGAGCAGCAATGTTTTTACACATGTGAACCACTTGCATAAAATAATTTTTACATAAAGGAAATATGATTTAGTCATGTGGAAAATATCAAATGGTAGCTCTTCTATTTTAATTAAAGATACGCACAGTTAAAAAGCTCAATCATCTCTTCCATTGAGGAACAGAAGTCCATTTGATATAGGTTGGCAGTGAGCTAAAGAGACTAGGTCCATTAACGGTGGGCTGGCAGTGGGTGAGGTACTGCTTGGTGAGCCCATAGGGCAAGCCCACTCACAAAGAAGCCATAGCCTTTACTGACATTCTGGGCTGAGATTCCTCATCAGCTCAATAGCTCTTCTTGGGTAGGGTTAATAAGACAGAAATGCGTGCTTTAATAAGACAAAAGGGGATAGATAGCTAATTTAGGATCCAGGTACCCTACCAACAATCTGCCAGACCAAACATTGCCCAGCTTTTTGCTGGCATTCATAGAGGGATAGTTTTCAAGGGATCGATTTCAAAGTATATTCATTCAATATATAGTTATTTGGGACCAACTATGTGCCAGATCCCATCATTTTGTTGAAAAGCAAGGATGTTACTTTTAGGACTAAGGTGCTCCTGACCAAAACCATGGTATTTTCAAGGTAGACATTTAATAAGGGAGACCACAGATGAATTGATTCACTTGAATTATGGTGATCGAGAAGATTGAAAGAGTCATGAAATGGCAAAAGAACAAAACATCTGTCTTGGAAGAAGGACAGGGAGCCGTCAACTCACTTACTTTGGACATGTTATTAGGAGCGACCCATCTTGGGAAGGGACACCATGCTTGGTACAGTAGAGGGGCATGAAAAAAGAGGAAGGCCCAGGACAAGACGGATTGACGCAGTGGCTAGAGCCATAGACTTGAATGTAAAAACAATTGTGATGTGATGTCGCAGGACTAAGCGCTGTCCAATTCTGTTGTACTGTGAGTGGAGACTGACTTAATGGCACTTAACAACAGTGTTTATCAGATATTATTTCAAACTATGGGATGAAAGCAGTGTAATGTTCACCTTTGTGAAACAGGTAATAGAGAGAGGAGCATGTGTGTTCTGTTGCTAACAGACGTGCTGTAAGTTTCTCCCAGGATGCAGAGCAACTCAGAGGAGGGCTTGGCAGCCGGGAACCACATTTCTTCCACACAGTGTTGAAATCAGAACTCGTGACAATGACACCAAATGTAAAGACCTGTCTTTTAAAAAGTACTATTATTGTTCCTACTTCTATCCTTCAAAAACAGTCTTTGGCTGGCCCGGCTCTGCCTTTTACTAGCTGTAGGACCTTGGGAAAATTAGAGAAACCTTCTTAACCTCACTTTTCAAAAATGCCAATGATTAAAGAGTTTTCAATTATTTCATGAGTAAAAATGACCAATGCTTTGTTGTGTCTCTCTTACAATTTGCTTACTTTGAACAATGTATAGATACCTCCATGAATGTTTGTTGTTGCTGCTGAATACATCCCAGGGGGTAGCCTCCCCCAAACCCAGAATATTATTTTCAAAGTTATGTCTTTAAATATTTTTTTTAACAAAACAACCTTATCACCTTCAAAGTACTCTCCATGACACTGAATACATTTGTCAAATCTGCGATCCCATTCTTGCAAACATGTTTCAAACTCATCTGTTTGAGTGGCTGACAGCACCTCCCTCATTTTTTCCTTGACCTCTTCTAAGTCATCTACCATATTGCTGTCCTTTCATGTTCCTCTTCATTCGTGGAAACAAAAAGAAGTCGCATAGACTCAGGTCAGGTAAGTGGAGCAAGAGAGGCATGCTGTGTCCCCACCCCACCACCAAAACTGGCGCACAGAGGTGGCTGCAGGAGCAGGTGGATTGTTGTGGTGGCAAAACCAATCCCCCATCTGCCACAAATCAAGCCTTTTTTTGTCATACACTGTTAACACAATCTTTTCAGAACTTTTAGATAGAAAGCTTGATTAATAGTCAGATCTGGTGGAACAAACTCCAAATATATTATGGGTTGACGTTTTCTTCCATTCAAGAAGTTGATGGACATCCAGAAAAAGGTTTGTCATCAATTGACATTTCATCTTTTTTTGAAATGAGGAAAACACTGTACACTTGAGTTTTTCCCATAGAGCTGTCCTTATAAGATGTGTTCAACATCACAACAGTTTCTGTAGCACTTTTCCCGAGCAGGAAACAAAACATCACAGCCACATGCTGTTCTCTTAAATTGGCCATCACAAAAAGTGAGGTTCTAACAAAACTGATTCATGAAAACATTCACTGTGACCAGAGAGAATCTTCCCAGGCAATGCAACGAGGGCACATAGCTAAACTTTAAATACTTGATCTGAGACCGTGTATTTTTACAGGAACATTCTAAAAATTTACATTGATCACAATGTTACTTTTTAAAATTCACCATACCTTATATTTTTCTCTTTA